GTGCGGGCCTTCGAACACGTCGTCGTAGGCGTCGAGAAGCTCGGTGATGCATGGGTTCGAAGATGAGTCCGTCGATGAAGCGTCATGGGGCGGGAGGGCGTGGAGAAAATACACCCCCATTTCCTCGATGTCGTCTCTGATGATGGAAGCTCGCATGCTTGCGGCAGACACCACATGGCAGCTAATCGAAGGGTGAGGAGGAGCCACCGTGCATGAGACTAGTACTCCGTTCCGATCACGAATGTGAACGGTGCGGTGGTAGAAGTTCACCGGGTGATCCTCGCTTCGCAGCCATGACATGCCCAAGATCATGTCGAATTTGGTGTCCAAAATATTGAAGGACACCGCCTCGCTTGCATGCGGGGCAAAGTACATGGGGAGTTGATACGAGGCCGAACATCCTCCTTGCCTTGATCAGGGCATTGGGAGGTCTTGTGCTTGGTGTTGTTGCACCAATAGCAGTAGCCGTAGCGGCCACGCCACTTGTACCGCCTCGGTCAAGTGAAACTTGACCCATGGTGTTGGCTGTCCGTTTCCGGCCGGCGATGCGGTTTTCGCCTTCCCGTTCCCTCGGGAATTGTTGTTGCTTCGCAGCTGGACAACAGCCACCCGATCTCCCTCACGTGACGCTTGGGTGGTTGTCGGGTCTTCCACAATGTTGTCCGATTGGACTGCAGCGACATGCTGCGGCCGCGGACCAGTTTTCACCTTTTCCACGTAGGTTGGCTGCCATGCTGATTTCTCATGTGCAACTGCCCTATTGGTCTTGATGATCTCCCTTGCCTTGTAGATGACTTCGGCGAGGTCGCGTATTGCTCATGATCACCAAGTGCAAGGCTCAAGGCGGCACATGACCGGTTGTAGAACTCGCGGTGGAGATGCGAAAATGGCAAGTCAAGGTCGGGCGTTGCCGCGATCTTTTGCCATTCCGTGAGCCAGTCACGTGTCGATGTGTTGCCTTGCGTCATAGCGAAGAGGCGGTTGATGGCGAGCATCGGGGCGTCGTCCACGATGAACCGTTTCTTCCATAGCCGTTGTCGCTCGCGGCGGTCCCGCACCCAGACGCAAAGTAGTTTTTGTGTCGGACCTCACGGTCGTGTCACGAAGGAGTCTCTTTGTCACCTTACGCAATACCAACTCCGACCGTGCCTGCGTGCTATACCTCTCGCGACTCCCTACGACAGGTTAGGGATCCCACGAGGTACAACATTACCTCCACCTGCGGGAGCTGTCACCATCTCTTAGGTGGGCGTATCCCTGCTGAGCTACTGACCCACATACGAAGGCTTTTACATGCAATCGCAGAGGTAGGCCAACCGAGGGCGTTTTCTCGATCGTCGTAGCATAGGCATACGCGCGGTAGAACGCCTTAAGACTGACCCGTATTGTCGAGCCCCGAGGTGCTAACTCTCCGGACCGACTATCTATTCAGGTCGACTTCTCGGACAGTCTTCCACGCTTAGCTAACTATGACAATGACTCTATGTTTCTTCTGTTGATCTTATGAGAAGCCAGAATCTAACACTCAGTAATCTCTCGTTCTTCTCAAAAGAAGTCCCAGACAAATGACTTCCTAGGTACCGACTAGTCTACGATCTCACTCACAGATATATATATAAGTATGTATGTAATATCAGGGGGAGCTGAATGAGCGGTGGACCTCACTTTTCACAATTGTTGTGCTTGTTGTCCAATTATCCCAAATGATCCAAATCGAGAAGACAGCACAATGTCCAACACCTGTGCAGATGCAAGAAAATCACATACACGCATACAGATGCAGACACAGAATGCGCCACAAGCGTCAACCTTTAACCCATTCATAGCAAGCCACTCACGCCCCAAAACCTTGAAAACAACATTCCTTCCTAGACCTGACTCCTTTTACCCCAGCCCTTCACATTTTCAAAGACCTCTGAGTGTGACCTGGACAAATTTAAGTGTAGATACAGGAGGAAGATTTATCTGTTCCCTTCTTAGGTCTTGTCTTAGGTGTGGGTATCAAGCCATGTGGAAGTTGAGTCGGAGTTATACCGACCTGTTATCAAGAGATAACAGAATTTGTAGTTCCTTACAGATTTTCTTTCGTAGTCCTCTCCGAGAGTGATGAACCTGTAGACACAACATGGTCCGAACGAATCTCAGCGTCCTCTCTTTGGGTCCTAGAAGATTCCTTCTAGACTTGTGACCCAAAGTTCTGTGCATGTTGTCGACCTACTGCCTAACTTCTACCCTGATCTAACTTAACAATCCGCTGCCCAGTCGGTCCAGGCGATGAACAAAGCTCATTCTTAGCCCCTTCATCACTGCGATTCTACTCGGTTCCCTTCTTTTTATGAGCCCCATGTCCCTAGCCACCACAAGCAATACCATTCACTCAATTCAGAAAGGGATCATGTGATTGAGCTCAAATCAAAATTTCAAAGGGTGGTAAGCCTCTCTGAGTCAAGGACTCACTTTACCCCCTCGGTAGAATCAAACATAGTTAGTTAGGACCGAACGATGCAGACTGTGGAGAAAGTTGCGGTGGTATGGCAGACCATTCAGGATATATCCACTTATTACTGGAGCCTGTTTGACAAAAGGCAGACCTTGTGGGTCTTGGCCCCTGTGCGCTGGAGCACACTTAGCGGTAGGCTTAACTCATGGTTAGTCACTGATAAGGCAGGTATCCCTGAAACCTTGCTACTCTTATGTCAGACTAGTCACTGATAAGGCAGGTTTTCCCTGCTACTCTTATAACTGGTCAGTCATCAATAAGGCAAGTATCCAAGGACCCTTACTACTCTTATCACTGGCTAAGTGCTAGGATGTTTACTGATAAGTCAGGTGTCCTTGAAACCTCGCTACTCTTATATCAGACTAGTCACTGATAAGGCAGGCTTTCCCTGCTACTCTTATCACTGGCTAGCCCTCAATAAGGTGGGTGTCCAAGGATCCTTGCTACTCTTACCACTGAAAGAAGGTTAGATTGATCAACGATAAGGCAAATGTCCTTGAAACCTCGCTACTCTTATATCAGACTAGCCACTGATAAGGCAGGCTTTCCTTGCTACTCTTATCACTGGCTAGCCCTCAATAAGGCGGGTGTCCAAGGATCCTTGTTACTCTTACCACTGAAAAGAATCATAGATTGGTTAATGATAAGGCAGGTGCCCTTGAAACCTTGCTACTCTTATATCAGACTAGTCACTCATAAGGCAGGCTTTCCCTGCTACTCTTATCATTGGCCAGCCTTCAATAAGGTGGGTGTTCAAGGAATCCTGCTACTCTTATCACTGACCGAGTGTAAGGCTTATCGGAGGTAAGGCAGGCTTTCCCTGTTATTATTACCTCCACACAAGTCTTATTGACGGATCAAGTTATCGCCTTTGTTGGCACTCGCCTTGAACCGTTGTCAGTTTCGGGAACTTATGCTCGGATCAGGCGTATGACAATAATTAAATGACAAGAAATCATCATCGTTGCATTCAATCACAACAAGCTGAAACAACAAATACCCATCATCATTAGGCGACGTATAGAGATAAAAATATGAGAACTCGATCCCTTGTATCCACATTTCCAAGAAATGCCCACACAGCAAGATCGCTGTACCCAGAAGCAATCAGTTTTTATTTGGCCAGACATTTTACCCAGTCAGCGCTTCTTTACCAACACTTTTACAATCCAAGACTTCAGTCCATCCTTTAGTCCTTGAAGAAATACTGATCCTGAATCCCTAACCCTTATGAACACTTTTATGGATAATAGCTTATATGTCATGAAACAACAACTGGATCGAAGTAACGTACCTTGTTGTTCCCTGCCTCCAAAGTTCCGCCTGAACTCCGGCAGAGCTCCCGCAATCGCCCTGTCATTGGTCATATATAACTCATGCAATTAATTGCTGGGTCTTAGAGCTAGCCGAGACCATGATTAATCAATGGAATCATGTCACCAATCAATCAGACCAAGGAGGCAGGCATCTGAAAGGACCAAACAAGAAGAGTACGGAGAAGGATGAGGGAGGTGGGTACCTATCGTGAAGGATAGCGTCACCTCCCTCTCCATGCTCCATGCCTCCCATCATCTTTGGGCTTGTATGATGTCTAATGATAGCGATAGTAACTAACAGAGACAACAAAAATAATCAAGCAATAACAATCGAAATAATAAAATAATAAAATAATAATAATATCAATAGTGACAACACAAATAATAATAATAATGATAATAATAATAATGATGATGATAATAATAATAATAATAATAATAATAATAATAATAATAATAATAATATCTAGAATAATAATAGTAATAATAATAATAGCGTAGGGCAATGACGAAAGTGGAAGGACAGATTGCAGACGGTGAAATCCCCTTTGAAAGCCAGGAAGTCCTACTCTGATCAAAGAGTAGTAATGCACTGATGTTATATCAATCGGAATTCAAATACTTCATCGAGTTAACAATGGGAGCATTTCCCTTGCTGCAGCCGACACATATATCAGTGGCCTTGCTTTTACTCGACGATCGGCGC